ACACACACACACACAGAGTAAGCATACACGCCTTCAAGGGGCGGCCATGCCGCTGCATGCCCCATGCCCCAACTCCGTGCAGCTTACAAATAACCGTGTTCTGTGAGCACCCGTCGATTGCGAATACTCTCAGCCAGCAATTCATGTAGAGTGGCCGAATGCGCAGTCCTGCAGAGGAACCGCCCTCTAAACCCCTGCCTTTCTCCCCACCAACCCATAGGACTAATATCAGCTATTCATCAACGCAACAGCCCCTCCAGGGTTGTACTGGAAGCGGAAGGCTCTTCATCTCCGCCACGGTGCGATACAGAACGCACCACAGAGGTGCATTTTGCAAGAAATTCGTCGCGGTTTCCCGTGATTTTGCGGAAAACCTCCGCCGCTGATTGATGAAACTCCCGAAGAACCTGCTCGTGCTGCAGGATTCTATCATCTACGTTATCAAGCTTGGGGGCCTGAGAGGAGGTGGGTGACTCTCGCTGCGTGACGTCGTGAAGCCGTTCAACGTCTCCAAATGGATGAGCCCCAGTCCCAATAACTTCACTGTGGCTGCTACACAGGGGCGAGCTTCGAGAGATGTTAGAGATGGATTCTACAGATTCCCATCCTACCTGGGCGACACTTGAGCGTGGCGGGGTCGTGATATTTCTGTCCCGTGAGCGGTTGACTGAGCGTGGGGGGGGCGGAGCAACGGGCTTCGGCGCACGTTGACCCTTCGGGGTTGTGGTGGCAGACTCCTCCAGCCGCAGAGTCTCATCTCCATGCGACATTTTATCTCCATCGAGCCGGGGCGATGTTGCTGGCAGCGTCGCGGATGCTCGGCTCTGCGAACGCGGGACGGACGGCATGCGCTGCTGCTCCCGTCGCACCTCGCGTAGTGCGGCCTCTTTAGCCACCTTTGCCCTTTGCTTGTAGCGGTTGAACTGCTCCTCGAGGTGGGCCCGCTTGCTGCGCTCGTCCTCGAGCTGACTGCGTAGCCGCTGAACCGGCTCTGAGGCCGTGGTGGCAAGCGCCTCCAGCTTCGCATCCTTCTCCCGCAGCTGGCGTTTCAAGCTGGCGAGGACGCCTTCTGTCTGCTGCTGATGCGCAGATGCCGCACGGCGTGTAGAGGCAAGATCCTCCTGGTGCCGCACGGCGCTCTGCTCCAGTCGCACCAGCAGCTGCTTGCTGTGCTCCTGCTCCTCCTTCAGCTGGGAATTCAAACCCGCCACCTCACGTTCCAGGCGCATCGTCTGGTCCTCCGCATGGTGCAAAGCCTTTTGCAGCTCTTCCGTCTCACGGCTGGCCTTCGACTCCTCCTCCTGCAGTTGTTGTGTGATGCCCTCAACAATTCTATGATGTCCCGCACGCTCCTCACGCATTTCGTGCTCCTTCCGCGCAAGCTGCAGGCGGAGTTGCTCCAACTCCTGCTGGAGGGTTTCCGCACGCTCCACGGCCTGCCGCCTCCCCTCCTGCGCCGCAGCCACGTTGGACGTCAACTCCTCCTGGTGCTGCTTCTGCTGCCGCCGCTGCTCCCTCAGTGTGTCGTACTTTCGCTGCACCTTCTCCAGCGACGTGAGTTTCTCGGTTGCCTCGCCGAGCAGGTCCTGGTAGCTTTTCGTAGTCGAGTGGAACTCCGCCTCCAGCCGGCGAAGCTCCTCCCGTGATCGCTGCTCCTGTTCCCGCAGCTGCAATTCCAGCCGGCTCACCAAGCCCATCGCATCCTGCTCACGCTCCGCCATCAGTTTCTCCCGCCGCCTACTCTCCGCCAACTCGCCTTTGCGTCTCACCACTTCCTCTTCCAGCCCCGCCAGCTGCTTTCGGGTGTTTGTCAAGGACTCACGCAGCTCTATCACCTGCCTCTTCTTTGCTTCCGCCTCGCTCTGCATCGATTGGGAGCGGGAGGTGGCGGCCTCAACCTCCGCTCGCAGTCGCTCGATGATTCTTTCTTTTTCTTCCATCGTCTTTCGCCCCTCCTCCGCCTGCATCCGCTCGTTATCCACGGAGGCCTGAAGCAACTTCTGCTTCACGGTAAACGATGCCTGCAGCTGCGTCGCCACCTCTTCCTCCGCCCTCTGTCGTGCCTGTAAGGCTTCGTGGCGAAGCTGGGCAAGTTCGCGATTGTGCTCCATGCGGAGCAGCGCGAGCTGCTCACGGTGGGATGTCTCCTGCTCCTCCAACTGAGACCGCAAACGCTCCAGCGCCGGGTTGCTTTGCGCCACGGCCTCTGGGTGTCGTCCGGTTTCCCTGGACTCCAGCGACAGGGAGACCTCTGGCGGGGCATGTGACGCCGCGACCGCTGGGTGGTCGGCAGGCACGCGTGCAGCCGACACGACGGGGGCGGCGGTGGCCGCAGGCTCTGCTGCCGCAGAGAGAAGCGACTTGAAGGTGTCTTTCCAGCGCTGGCCAGCCTGGGCGGAGCCGCCGTCCTCCGCCGCGGCGGAGGTGTCCACGTTGCTTGCCAGCGAAAGGTGCTGCTCGCCAGCCGCGGCCGGCTGCTGCGGGTGCCGATGGGCGGCGTACAGCCGGTACGAGGCGTCTGACGACATCGTGGTGTTCGTCGTGGAGGCGCCTGAGCGCCCCTCCGCAAGGCCGCCCGCCGGCGGCGTCTGCACGCGGCTCCACGGCCACCGCCGGCCTCCGCCTGTCCCGTTGCTGCTCGCGCTCTTGTCGTGGCAGCTGTCCTCTGGGCGACGGCGGCGCTGGGGGGGCCTGCCGCCGTCGCGATGGTTGCCGTCATACGGCGACCGCTGCTCGTACATCGCCGCGGCCGTCTGCCGCGCCGCGGACGACGACGACGCGACAGCCACTGCCCTACTTGCCGCCCCAACGACAGGCGTCACGGCCGCGGCGCGGCCCGCGTGCGCTGCGTCGTCAGACATCTCTGCGTAATTCGCGCCGCGTGCACCTGCGAAGTCGTCTACCGGTGGCCTCAGTCTCTCACGCGCAGCGCCGGAGTTCTCCCTGCGCCGCGTCGTCTCATACAGACGCTGCACCCCTCGGGTTGTGTGGTCAATGAGCTCAATAAGATCGCTCGGAAGATCCTGCCCGTACGAGGACCGTGAGGCGTTCATCGGCGGAACTCCAAATTAGAAAGCGAGGGGGCAAGGGCACCCCACGGAGCGCACACACACGCACACAGACACAGAGAGAAAGGAGGGGACGCTGGTGCGGCCTTCGCTGAGGCACGACACCAGTCAGCTGCGGTGGCGCTAGTCGCAGTGGGAGGAAGCGCAGGAGGAGGTAAAGGGCCTTCCTCCTTCTATGGGAATAAAATCTATAGGTGTACTGCATTTGGGTGCGTTGTGAGTGGGCGAGGAGGAAGCACAGAAACGATTAGCAGACACCACGAAGAAACATACACGTACACAATGGCACTGCCAAAAAAAAAAAAACCTCTGCGCCACCGCCCTGAAGAAATGTGTAGCGGACTTCATCGGCACAAGGGCCGACGCACAAGGCAAGCCGACAAGCACCCACACATGCGGCAATGTAGTAGCGGCAAAGAGAGAGGAGACAGCGTGGGAGGCGGTTGGAGTTGGGGAGCGGGGAGTTAGAGCTCAACTCCCTCCCCCGCACCCGACAACTGCAGCAACGCCGACCACTCTGCAGGCGCAAGACACCGCACCCTGCACCTGCGCTCGCGCGGGCGTGCTCCCACGGCGTGAAGTGTTTGCGGCACCTGTGGCGGGGCGGTTGCGAAGACGTGGCTGGAGAGAACTGTGCCTTGGCCATCCCTGTCTGCGTCCACGCGAGAAACGCCTGCCCGCCTGGCGCGGGTCCCTCCCACGCTTGTACCCGCCCCACTGGTTTTCGTTGCTGCTGCTGCAGCAGCAGCCGACGGGGCGGCCGCGCCTCTGACAGAAGGGCCTCGACGGAAGGGGTTAAGCCGCCGCAGACGTTCCATGCGAGTCTGAAGATGCCCGCGGCAGTCGCCCGGCTTGTCTGAGGAGGCACCACTGGCGCCCGAGACCGCGGAGCCGCTGCCCGTTCCCTCACTTCCCTCCCACGACGACACCGTTTCCCACACGACAGAAGCGCGCTTCTTCTCGTCAGTGGCCGCCGCCTTCTTCAGCAAAGTTGCAGGTTCACGGCGAACGCGGCGGTAGGCGTCGAGTGGCAGGAGCGACCCCGTCAGCCGCCCACTCCCGGCGTGGGTGGCCCACGGCATGGCACTCCACGGCCACCGCCTTGCTTCCCTCTTCGTTGTGGCTCCGCGCAAGCCAAGGCAAACATGCACACACCCACGCACAGAGAGAGAGAGAGAGAGAGAGAGAGTGTGTGTGTGTGTGTGTGTGGGAGAACACTCAGCGGCGCGCCGCGTACATGCTGTATGTGGGAGACATGCGTGCGAGCGCCAGCCATCCCCCGCAGCTCAGACCGCTACACCGCAGCAACAGACAAAAGGCAACGCCCCAACCTACGCCTAGCGGTCCTGCGGTTCGCCGCCAAAGGGCACCAAGGCGTCAAAGCCGAAGTGAAGCATGTGACAATTCCGCAATTCACGGGCCCGGCTGCGCTTCCGGCGACTTCGTCGCGCCGTCTCCGCGGCGTGCTGCTCCCGCAGTGTTTTTCTTACAACCCGCAGTGCGACCTCATCCGTCTGGTGCGGAATCCACACGGCGCGTGACGCGGCGGCCATAATCTCGCCGTCCGGTGCCGTAAGATCGCGCACCTTCAGCACCGCAGGGGAAGGACTCAGCCACCACGAGAGCGTCGCGCCAGCCACGCCGCGCCCCAGTCGCTTCGGCTCCGCGTGTTTGGGGTCGGCGTCGGGGGCCCCGCCGCCCCAGAGCGCGGGGTCATTGACGCAGATGTCCTCTGGGACCGGGAGCGCGGGAAGCGGCTCCCGCCCAATCATCACCCCCGGCATGGACACCACCTCGTCCATGACCTCCACCGGCACAATCGTTTCCCGGTCGTCGAGAAAGAGAGAAAGGGTCACCCTGCCCTTCGCCTGCGCCCGGATATCCATGAAACTCCGCTGACCCCCACCCGAACTCCGCGACGCCTTCACGCGCACATCCAGCGGCGCAGCACCGCCGGCGTTTCCCGTGGCCAGACCCAGCGAGGCCCGCAACGCCGGGGCGCTCACAGGCACGGGGGAGCCATGGTTCGCAGACGCCGCCCGCTCAACCACCACCAAGGCACGCTCACCCACATTGAAACGAGTGGGAATGCTGTTTTTGCTTCGCACCGGCACCCCACGACGCGTGTACAACATCGACTGAGCCACCACACCCGCAGGAAGTTCCAACTGCCCTATTTGACCGTCAGCGCCCAGCAACGCATCCGCTTCATCGCTGCGCAAAAACGCATTCAATGCTTCGCCGACGCCGGAGAACCCTCGTTTCCCTTTGGCCAATCGGTGCTCACGGGCCTTGATGTAATTATCGGGAAAGTAATAAAGTAAACCCCGCTGCTGTGACTCCTTCAGCAGCCGCTCTTGCAGAATCACCTGACCCGTATGAAGCGCCACGCATCCCTCGGTGTCCGGCAACATGGCAGGAGACTGCAACAACCGTGCGAGCTCTTCCAGGCTGTGCAGCTCCGGCCGTCGACAGACAAGCACAAGTTCCGTTTTGACCTCCACCGCCACATCCCCCATGTCACCCGCCGCACTGCCTCCCAGGGCGTCCACGGGGCGGTGGTAGACCTCAATGCAGTGGTTGGAGCAGCTTCCCGCCTCCATGTACTCCCGCCACGCCACTGGAAAGCGCTGCAGTGAGGCGCCGCGAGGAATCAAAAAATCCAGCTGCAGCAGGGTGTACTCCACATTTGGATGCGACGTCAGAAACTGAATGGTCTCATAGTGCTTCGCAACCTGAGCCGTGTTAAGGATATCACCCAACTCACTCATCACCAGCCGCCTCTACCCGCTCCTTGGCACCACCCCACTGCCCATCATCCACAGAACACAAATGAAAAAAAAAAGTGCCAAACAAAAGTTGCAACAAACACCGCCACCAACACAAACAAACAAACAAAAATGAAACAACCGCCAAATATTAACGCAAAAACGCCACGGCACCGAGTGCGGCGTGGCTGAGCGGTGGCTCTTGGGCGCCTTAATTGGGACGGTCCCGCGCGAGGCAAGGCGAGGCATCCCACTCAACGGGCCCTTGCGGGGCAGAGCCAAGCGGCAAGGGAGGGGAAAAGAGAAGGGGGCAGGGAGGCGCACCTCATGGGGATGTTCTGCTGCATCAGTTCGAGTGCACGCTGCACACGTCGGTGGAGGACAAGTACATCCGGTGTCTAATCACTGCGCGGCTGCAGGGCCCGCTCGCACAGCGGCAGGCGAAGAAAGGCGTGACGAGGCGACTACACCTGACGGGGGGCGGGAAGAAGGGGCGGCTAGCAGCACAGAGGACAGGCGGCGGGGGCGCCGCGACAGCCGCCCGCAACGGGCACAGCGCAGGGGAACCCACAACGGCCGCCCGGCCCACGCACGGAGGGGCCGCCGCCCGGCCACGGAGGGACGCCCAGCAACACATGCCCTCCGTGCCTTACGGCGCTCCTCCCCTCACCGAAGCTAAACCCGCAGGCTAAACCCGCAGACGCC